ATGCCATTTTTAAACTTAGGTCCCTGGGCGGGACCCGGAAAGAAATGTGTAAACATCAGAAATCGAAGAAAATAATAATAATAATAAATGATTGACGTAAATATTCCAATATTTTTCAACAGTTAACGGAAAAGCGGGATTTAAGAAAGTTCTTTTTAGAATTAACTTGACTCATGTTGTTTGCACAACGCGCAAGTTTTTCCTCTTCTACGAGTGTTTTCGGGAGCACAACGACCCGAAACTTCAATGTTGTTTTGAGTGTGGACGCTTATATTTGTTAAAATTTGTCTGATGTTTTTATTTCGTTTCAAAGAAACTATAAGCATATTGTGAAAAATCTCTTTAAAACGCTGTTATGTTTGCGCAATGCGTTCATAGTTGCAGTATTTTCGAAATTTCGGCAGAATTTCGGTGCCAATTTATGACTAATGGGATTCTGTCAGAATTTTTAGTGTGTTTTTTTTTCTGTGATTTTTTCCTGGTGTAAAATTATGGTAATCTTCATTTTTAGCGATTTCATTTGGCAATTTGTTTCAATTCTATCCCAAATTCAAAGAGAATAATCACGATTTCTACAGAGGGTTACCATTTCATTGATTCCCGTTTAATATACGCCACCCAATGTGTCAAACATGACTTGATTTATGTGGGTTGAACAACAGAAAAATTAAATAAGTAGAAGGGTATCCTCAGTACTGCAAAAAGTTTTAGTGATACTTTAGCTGTCCGCTACCACTTTTTCACAAATGTCGATTTTCATGCAAAAAAGCGGATCACATCTTCATACATTTTTCTAAAAACCTGAACTTCTCATTGGACAATAAATATTAAAATTATCTCGTATATCTTCACGTGCATTGTTCTCAATAAGCAACACAAAACATATCAGGCTCCAGACTGAGTTTTGTAAGGCGCTTTCTGAGTGGTTAATAGATATTAAAAAAACAATTTACCTGCTCACCACTACGTCCGAATAACGTCAACCTAGTTTTTGACCTGACGAAAAAACAATGCTTATTGGAGCCTGTCACGTGATTAAAAAACATATAAATTGAAGATACGAGCGAACCCAGTCAGTGAGAATTTACGACGACTAGAATTTGCTAAACGAGTTCATGACGCTTGAATCATTACTACGGCGAAGTACAAAGTTAGAATCTCAAGTTCTTTAACACGAAATAACTTCACTGAAATTCAAGCTACAATTTCAACGAAACAACTCATTCACCAACTTCTGCAACTTACTAAAACTTATTCAATTACGTAATTGAATCTTACGAAACTTAAGTACAAACAATTACGAACAATATACATTCAACTACGAGCAACGAAAACAAACAGAACATTCACTTCTCCAACTTCTTTAAAGCTAAAAGTTTATCAACATATTTTCAGCTTTACAAGATTCTCTTTCAGTAAACATTTTGAACGACAAATTAATTCAGCTTTTGTGAGCTAAGGTAAAAAAATATTTTAGTAGAAAAACTTTAGCCCAGTCAAAGGGTAGTAACATATTATTGTTATTGTATAACTGTTGTCATTTATAAATATAAATATTGTACCTATTAAGAAAAGTTATTTTCTTGTATTCTTTCTCTTGTTTGCTTTTTGTTTTCTTACACATTCGTAAAGTAAAAAATGTGTGGGTTGATTTATGCCGTCAATACCACTACAATACCGATGTTATGGATTTCAGATAAATGTGCAAACGTAACATTCAAAAAAGTGGGAATTTCAGAAACGCGGTGATAGTAAATATATCATGGAACCGTGGAAAGCCATATTATACCTAAACAACTCCAAAAGATAAGCCAGTTCCAATTGACGAAGAATCTTTCAAGGAGACACTATGTCTCCCCTTCTGTTCTGTCTGTCTTTAATTCACCCTTTCGCATGAACAAAAGATTAATAACTATGGATAGAGAGTGAAAGAGAACGTGTTTAATCTCTTAATCTACACGGATGATATCAAACTCTTGCCAAAAAATACCAATGAGTTCAAGGGTATGCTCAATATTGTAAAATGTTTTAGTGATGACAATGTTATGGATTTCGGATTAGATTAATGTGCAAATTCAAGAAAGGGGGAAATTACAGAAACGCAGTTAATAGATCTAGATTTAGTCACAAATATTAGGGAACTAGAACAGGAAGAAAGCTATAAATATTTAGAAGTCAGATATAGAATACAGCATACCCAGATGAAGGAGAAAGTAAGAACAGAATTCTAACAGCGTATGTGTCTGCTGTTAAATAACGATTTTAATTCACGAAACAAAATATCTGCTATAAACACTTTAGCTATGCCTGTGGTGCAATATAGCCTCAACATCCTAAACTAGCCCATAGCTGACATTAAGTGAATAGACGTCAAAAAGAGAAAGATTTTCAATTGCCACAGCAATACATCGTCCTAAGACTGATATTGATGGTCTATATATGCCCAGATGTGAAGGAGGCAGAGGATTATTGTAACTAGAACTGTCTTACAAAACCACAACAATCGCTTTTTCTACGATACCTGGAAACTACAGAAAACTGGTTAATGATCTATGTCAAAGAACATGAAAGAAATAAGAAATTTTATTCAATAATATAGGAAGGCAACAAATTCAAAATGGAATTTCAAGTTTGTTGCAGAAGTGCAAATAAAACATAACACAATTACTGCAAGTGCAAAGAACTTAAAAACAAGAGAAAAAGCAAACGCAATGTACTAAATGCAGAAACGATGGCAAGATAAACCTCTTCATGGTCAATACTATGCGCGTACCAAACGAGCTGATGTAGACCAACCCGCCACCCATCAGTGGTTACGCAGTGTTTAAAATTGAAAACCGAAGCTTTATTCTTGATGCACAGGTCAAATGCGTGCTAACTAGAAATTATCAAGCAAACATACTAAAAAAGTGTTCTAACCCAAAATGAAGATTATGTGATAAATATCCAGAAACAATTGGCCATCTTGCATCAGGTTGCCCAGTGTTACCACCAATTAAATATAAAACTTGCCACGAGAGAGTGGGCCGATATCTGTATTGGAAATGTGCAACTTTTACGGGAAGGAAACTGCATGAAACTTGTATAAACATCACCCAAACCCGGTTAGAGAGATAGGATCTGTAAAAATACACACAGAAAGAATAATCAAAGCTAATCGTTCAGACATCGTGACCAGAAACTACAAAAACAGAATATATACTTTCTTATTGGCATGTCAGTTCCTGAAGATTGTAACTTAGCTTTGAGGATCTTCAAAATACTATAAAAATACAAGAATTTTGATGTAGAAATCTCAAAAGTGTGGCACATGAGGACATCAATAATTCAAGATGTGGTCGGGGCCCAGGGATTGATTGGATAAATTCATTTAAGAAATTCCTAGAAGCCCAGACCTTAAAGGAAATGTGTATACAACAGAAATCAAAGGAAATGATAATAATAATAATAATAATAATAATAATAATAATAATAATAGGAAGAAGAAAGAAGGAAATTAGAAATAGGAGAAGGGAAAACGGAAGAAGAAGAACAAGTTAAAAAGAATAAGATGAATGAATAAATGCAGAAGAAGAAGGAAAAGAAAAAAAGAGAGAGAGTAGAACAGAAGAAGAAAGTAAATAGGTTGAAGAAGAAAAATGAAGGAGAAACAAAAAGACAGAACTGATAAAGAAGCAGAAGAAATAAGGAAAAGGAAGAAGAAATAGGGAAGGAAAAAACGAAGAAGAAGAAGAAGAAGAAGAAGAAGAAGAAGAAGAAGAAGAAGAAGAAGAAAAACAACAACAACAACAACAACGACGACGATGTGGTAGATAAAGAAGAAATAACATGTACCATCTTCGATATTGCAAACCGCCAGAAATTTTAGAGTACCTAGAAAAGAAGCAGACAATAAAAAGGTATTAGACATTGTACAAATTGTGATCAATGAGGATAGCGCGAGTCAAAGCCATTCTTCTTGGATCTCTGGGCACTCTAAGTACTGAACTTCCAATATGACCGGAGGAGATTTGGGGCCAATGTCAAGATTGAACAATGATTCCTTGGCATTTTCGAAAAGTGCAAACACAGTTGTGTGGCTGTAGAGAGCTGGCATTTTGGGTTTACCACCAACATCATTTGCTGTGTTTGTTGATAAAATAATAATAATAATAATAATCTTTGTAAAAGTTTGCGAAAGCAATATTTAAACGACTTTGAGTTCAAAACCAAGAGAACGTGGTATCTGAAGACTTGTTGTTATTGGTGCTTTGAGAATGATATAGAAAAGAGAAAACAAATATCTCGATCTGGCCGCTTGTAAAATGGCTGCCTTTGTCGTTGAACACTGTTGTACGCTGGGGTACTCCAAATTTATTCTGAACTGCCACATATGATTAGCAGTTAGAATGATACATTCCTTATTATATTTGATCCCCAAAAAACGGAAACTGCTTATGAGTCAGCTTAATACAATAACATGATAGAATCCTGTTCAATGAGATGTTTTAAGACTCAAAGAACAAGCGAAAGCTCTTGCGAGGAACAAACATTTGAACAATGTCTTTAAACACTAAGAGCCCAAAATTCTTCTATTCGCATAGGAAAAATACAATACAAATTTCAAAAGAAGTACTTTTTCAGGCATTTTTAGCGAAAATATTTAAGGGAGTGCTTTTTTGTTTTTAAACGTTATCTTATGTTGGTGCACTACAAATGGTTATTATTAAGGGTGATACATTCCTCATTACAATTGTTTCCTCAAAACGGAAAAGAAAACGGTTCCGGTCCTTTTTACAACTAAACTTGATCTAAAAAGGGAAACTGCCTATAAGTCATCTTAATACGATAAAATAAATACGATCTTTAAAAACTGCTCATAGAAAAGGCGAAAGCGCTTGCGAGGAATATGAATTTGAACAAGGTACGCACTAAAACCCCACTATTTACATAAGAAAAATACAATAGAAATTTTATGAGAATTACTTTGTCTGATATTTTTAAATTACGAGTCATTTACGTTATGGTTTACTTAAGTACTTCAGAGAGAGAGAGAGAGAGAGAGAGAGAGAGAGAGAGAGAGAGAGAGAGATTGCTTGTAAAATCGCCGCAGTTGTCGTTGGATATTGTTGTATGCTAGATTACTCCAGATTTATTCTGAACTGCCACTTAAGCTTAGTAGCTAGAATGAAACATTCATCATTACAATTAATTCCCTAAAACCGGAAACTGATTTTGACTGAGTTTAATTGAAGATTCAGTTGATGATGTCAGGCCACGTGTAAATTGTTTAAAGTGGGTGTGTTGGGGATATTTTAGCAACATGTTTCATAATAAACATGAAAACTTCAGTACGCTTCCGCCCATTCTGACAACCAAACTTGATCCCCTAAAAACGGAAACTGCTTATGAGTCATCTTGATACAATAACCTAAATAAAATCCTTGAAAACGGCCCATAGAATAGTCGAAAACGCTTGCGAGGAACAAGTATTTGAACAATGTCTGTACACAATAAGACCCCAAATTCTCTTATTCGCATAAGAAAAATACTATAAAAACTTTTAAAAGAAGTATTTTTGTCAGTCATTTTACCTTATAAGTCATTTACCTTATGAATCATTTTTCCATATGAGTCATTTTTACCTTATGAGTCATTTACCATAAGAATCATTTTTGCCTTATGAGTCATTTTTACGTTATGTGCCATTTACCTTATGAATCATTTTTACCTTATGAGTCATTTTTTCCTTATGAGTCATTTTTACGTTATTTGCCATTTACCTTATGAATCATTTTTACCTTATGAGTCATTTACCTTATGAGTCATTTTTGCCTTATGAGTCATTTACCTTATGAATCATTTTTCCTTATGAGTCATTTTTACCTTATGAGTCATTTACCATATGAATCATTTTTGCCATATGAGTCATTTTTACCTTATGAGTCATTATCATATGAATCATTTTTGCCTTATCATTTTTACGTTATGTGCCATTTACTTTATGAATCATTTTTACCTTATGAGTCATTTACCTTATGAGTCATTTTTGCCTTATGAGTCATTTTTACGTTACGTGCCATTTACCTTATGAATCATTTTTACCTTATGAGTCATTTACCTTATGAGTCATTTTTGCCTTATGAGTCATTTACATTATGATTCATTTACCTTAACGTGGTTAAGTGATAGATTGCTTGTAAAATATGAAAACTTCAGTACACTTCCGGCGCTTTTTACAACCAAACTTCAACCCCGACAGTCAAAGGATATTTTCTCAAGTAAAAACACGAGAGCATTTTAAGCTTTATATAGCTTCGGTTTGTTTTTATCCCCGAGAAACAATGGCTGTAATTGTTAGCCGTAAGAGATCGTTTCCAAGATGTTGACCACGTGAATCTGTTGTGAGAAATCAAATTTTAATTCTAAAATATCCAGAGAGGAAAACAAGCAAGAATAAAATTTTATGCCCCAAAAGAGATTTGGGAATAGAGACTTCAGATTTTTAGAGTTAGCTTCCCGGTGCCCGGGACGGGCAGATTCTTTGAGGAACGAAAACATCTTAACGAGAAAGGAAAGCACAATGAACTTTTTTTTTAACAACCAGAAAAGGCTGAAATATTTACAACGTATAACTGCAAAAGAAAGCCTGAAGAATTTAGCTCTCATATTTCGTGGAATTAGTGTAAAAAGCTCTTTAAACATAACTGTACGAATTTGAAAAAAAAATTATAACTCAGTATTTGTCTTTTTTCAAATTGTAAGTAACGAATTACAAAGAATTTTTGCGAAACAAATTAACGCAAAAATATTTTGTTTTTCTTTCTTTACAATACAACCGAATCAGTTGTGTTAGGAAACAGAAAGTATCTACACGAGGAGAGTGTCACGTATTTACATTGTTTTATGAATGCTTGTAATTTTCTAGTAATCAGCATGACAACAGACGCGAAAGCTGTATTATAGCGTTTACTAACGTTTTGTTTACAAAACACTGTTCATATGTTTCAGCTGTTCTTAATTTATTTTAACGTGGCACCATTGGAAAGGCGCTAGTAAATTAAAGAAAAAAAAATAAAAGAAAAACACTAATTTTCGATAGATTGAAGATATACTGATGACCGGAAGAAAGGAAATAGAATGCTGTTTTAATGTTGATATAATGTCAACGTTAATGTCAATGTCCATCGTATTTTTCATGTTGTATTAAATATTGTCTAATGTTAATTATGTTTTATGAATATGTTCTGAAGATGGTCTACTAGACCGAAATGTCCGACGTTGACATCATATCAACATTAAAACAGCATAATTGCATATTAGGATTTTTGTTTGTTTTTTTTATATATTTTTTTCATATATATATATATATATATATATATATATATATATATATATATATATATATATACAGGGTGTTTAAAAATTTGATATCATTTCGCAATCTAATAACTTTGTTAGATTTTCAAATGACTTCATATTTTAATAGCATCTTTATGTTTAATGTTTGTTTTATGTTTTTATGTCTTTATGTTTTTTGTGTTTTTCTTATTTGTATTTTTATGTTCTTTAATCTTTAATCTTTTTCTTTACAGGTATAAAAATGCTATTTACTAGAAGAGAAAAGGCGTTTTGTGTGTTCACATAATCAACATGCTTTTGAATTTCTCATTCAGATTTGGAAGAATAAATCTTATGATCTTCAACATTAATACTTTTTAATTTCATTTGCCTTAATCATGTACTTTCTGTGATATTTACATCTCAAAGGATATCAAGTTTTTTGAAACACCCTGTATATATATATATATATATATATATATATATATTATGTGTGTGTGTATAGATAGATAGATAAATAGATAGATAGATAGGGGACATAAACACAAGTATTATTACTTGTGAGAAATTTTTCAATGCCTTTACCCTATAAATAGCCTAGGTGTCAAAAACGACACCTCGGCAATTCAAGGTAAAACCTCAAATATCAGCTATTCCACTGAATATTTTTTAAAGAATTAAGTCTGTTAAGTATCTTTACTAAAATTTAATAATTGTCCATAAGCCTCAGCTTCGAACCAAAACTAGTTATTCCATAGTAATTTGTTGAAAAATTGAAGTTGTTGAAAACGACACCTTGGCCATCCTAGTGTTAAACTATCAATAACTGTAACATCAACTTTCTATCAAGGAATTGTATATAAATACTTTCTTTTTTTTTCCTTTTATCGAATTTATTTTTTTCTTTCCTGTGACTCTACTTTGACCGGACCAAACCAAGTCATCGATTCCAGTCGACCATTCGGTTCAAGCCAGTCTTGCGATCAGTTAACACAACGTGGGGCGAGACAAGACTTGGATCAACTCTACGATCAGCGGAGTGCATCGAGCTTGACTATGGAAAGGCCAATGTAGACGTTATATTTAAATCGCTAGACCTTGTCAGAAGTTACTCGAATAAAATATGTGACGAGCTGAGTCACAAATTATACGAAAGTTTTGAGATTTCAGCTCGGCCACGACAATAAACAATCGACCCTGGTCAAAGCTTTAGGGATAAACTGAAAACTAAATACTAACGAATCACAAATATTTATAAGAAATAAAACGCTCGAATAAGGTAAAAAATAGCTTTGCTAAACTTAAAATGTTATTAATTAATAAATAGTTTTAACGAATATCTATTTTTAAGAGGAAAAATATTGCTGATCATTTTCTGGTGTAATCCTTCAAATTTCCGAAGAGATGTCAAATATGGTGTTTCGGTTTTTCAAAGCATTCAGCGCCAGTGCCATCCAAGGCCATATAAACCGCTCTGTAATGCTATTTATCCATAGCTGGGGGAGAAGAGTAGGATTCATACATTTCCCAAAGGTCACTCAGTTATGTGCCATGCACGCTCAGGCGATCATTTATCTTTCGTTACATGACTGACGAGGCAGATATTTTTTTCCGCAGTTGGTTGCCATTTCTTTCTGCGGTTGACCAGTTGCCATCCAAGGCCATATAAACCGCTATGTACTGCTATTTATCCATAGCTGGGGGAAGAAGAGTAGGATTCATACATTTCCCAAGGGTATTAGCACGTAAGTGAATGTAATTTGATCTGATTAGAAATCGAACTCTGCTCTCCGATTTCTCATTCCGAGGAATGTAGAAATTCAGAACTGAAGCATGTGTCTTACACAAAAATGATGTTACTTTAGTGACGTTACTTAAATCTATTGAATGGTTCTACAATTTTTAACCGTTTTTCACACATACAGGGTGTCCATAAAGTTTGTGTGCACTTTAAAAAATTTATAACTTTATTTGTATTTGCGATAGAAATCATTTGTAAAAAAGGATTAGAAAGAAGTAAATCTATATTTTTTAAGGTTTTATTAAAATTTTATTTATGTTTCCACATGTCCGCCATTATTAGCAATAGAAAGGCTCATACGCTGGAAAAAAGAAAATATTTTTTACTTATCTAAAAAATGTTGCAAATTTTGTGGTAAAGAGTTATTCAATAACTATACTTAAAACAAGGTACAGTAAACTTTATTACATTTTTTTTTACAGATTATTTCTTTCGCAAATACAAATAAAGTTATAATTTTTTAAAAGTGCACACTAACTTTATGGACACCTTGCATAATACTGGTAATTCAGGAGAAGCAGAGGAAGGCGGTGAATAAAGTACTTGAGAATATTTAATCGAATATATTAGGTTGGTGCAAAAATAATGACGTAATAATGTCGTTTTTCGACGTTAAAAATACGTCAAAAAACGACATTATTATGTCATTATTTTTGCACCAACCTAATAGTACTGGAACTAAAAGGCGAAAGAAAGAACGGTGATGAAGGACGAGGTCCTGACGGGACCAAAAATAAAGGATGTTCTGGAGAGCCGTGTCCGCTTTCCTCCTGAAGAAAAATGGCGAACAGGGGAAGACACACATGGATATTTTTTTCGCTATTTGCTTTTTTTTTTTTTAATTACATTCTTGTAAGAAAAAGGTTGCTGCCCCAAACATCAAAATGTGTAACGGAGAGGCGTATGTAGTCGAACTTTTAAATTTTTTGTTCGTCGCCGTCGACAGCCGCTCGCACCCGAACATCAGAATCATATCATCCTCTTTCCCTATTCCATTCATCTCTCCCCACTGGGTTACGATATCTGTGAATCAAAGAGTGTTCCACGAGTGTATTCACGTGAATTTTATTTTGGCGAATATCTCTGCGCGAGGAAGAAGCCCACACACATGGCCAGAAGCATTTTAGGAGGAGTCAGGGACTTACTAGGAGGGAGGGAAACGGCCATCTTCCCAGCATATTAAACGCTGGATCGTATATACGAATCCCAATTAAAGTCTGTGAAGTTAAAAGAATGCTGATAGAAAACGCGTTAATTGTAACAAACAGGAATTTAGAGGTTGCTAGATATCTCTCGATTATTTATCGATTATTGTGTTCTTGGTACAATAAAAACATATAACGAAAGTACCATAACTGGTCTGACATTTATTTACTGCAAAATCTGTCTGAACAGATTACGACATCCTGATGGGAGTTAGTAATGGATTCTGTAATATCGATTGCGCAATTTCTTACAGAGTAATTTTACCTAAATTTAATAAAAGAGTGAAATAGTGATTAATAACTGCTTTAAACAATATCCTATTCTCAGCTTATAAATGCCAACAAAGAACATTACGACAAAAAGTGTTAAATTAATTTGAGATAAACCTTAATACCTGTTAGATATTTTCCTACAAATATTGATTTGTTTTAGAAAGAATCACTAGAAAGTTGATTGTCGCATTTTTCTATTTTACCACAATTGAAAATAGTCCGCTAAAGAGAAAGAAAATTTTGAAAGATTAATCAAGCAAATACTTGGATTACTTAAAATCCTTCATCTCAGAATCTTGAAAGCATTTGACTAAATAAGAAAAAAAGATATTCGTCAAGAAAATGGTGTGGAATAATGAACATTCTTCTTCTCAGAATCTCAGACAATTGAAAGCATTTGACTAAATAAGAAGGCAAAGATGAAAATATTAGTGAAGAAAATGTGTGGAATAATGAAAATCTTTCATCTCAGAACATCAGACAATTGAAAGGATTTTATTAAATAAAAATAAATAGATGACGATATTAATCAAGACAATGTGTGGAATAATGAAAATTCTTCATCTCAGAACATGAGACAACTGAAAGCATTTTACGAAATAAAAAGAAATATATGAAGATATCAGTCGAGAAAATGTGTGATAAATGAAAATCCTTCATCTCGGAACATCAGACAATTGAAAGCATTTGACTAAATAAGAAGGAAAAGATGAAGATATTAGTCAAGAAAATGTGTGGAATAATGAAAATCTTTCACCTCAGAACATCAGACAACTGTAAGCATTTGACTAAATAAAAAGAAAAAGATGAAGATATTAATCAAGAAAATGTGTGGAATAATGAAAATCCGTCATTACAGAATCTCAGACAACTGATGGTATTTTAAATAAGAAGAAATAGATGAAGATACTAGTCGGGAATTTGTGTGAAATAAGGAAAATACCTCCCTATAATTGCGAGTAACTAGTGTACAGATACTGGCGGTGAGTACTTATTTCCTAAATGGTTGTTAATCGCCTATATGTTGAGGTCAACTAGACAAAGACGAAAGTGTGTTGTTTTAAATCGTCTGAAACAATTTCATTTTGCTCTTTGCTTCTCAGGTTTTTGTTAGAAACAGAAGCTTTTATTTATTGGTCTAACTATTGCATTGAACCGAATTGCGAGATGACGTCATACTTGCTTTCATTAAATAGTAATAGGCTTTGTTTTCTTTCTTTGTTCTAGAAGAGCATTATGACGATGTGTCCATGCACAGAAAGGGCTTAGCTCTAAACAAACAGAAATTGTTCAAACGATTTTTGAAAAGATTTCTTCTCTTTTTTTTCTTGCATGAATGCAAAATGAGTTGAATCAAAACGAAAACTAAAATCTTTGTACAAACGCCGTTATGTCAGTGTTCATAAACAAACAGCTTATATTTCTACTGATCAATTATTGATTAAACTATCGAGGTTTTTTACTTGCATGAACTGAAGTTCTATAGCGAGCTTTCTACTTTATTTTTCACGTCCTTTCAGAATGTAGGCGATCATGTAGGAGGCACGCTGGAGTAATAGGAGGCAGGGTAGAGTAATGGATAGCGGCTTGGATTGAAGAATCGGAGAGCCGAGTTCGAATTCCAGTCGAATCCATTACATTCACTTACGTGCTAATACCCTTGGGAAATAAATCCTCTTCTTCTCCCTCCAGCTATGGGTAAATAGCAGGACAGACTGGGTTCTATAGCCTTGGATGGCAACTGGTCTAGGAGAAAGAAAACTCTGAATTCAAAACTTGCGGAGGGTCGTTTGGGGACCTTGTGGCACGTAGTGCACCAGGTCTCTGTAATCGGCCACTCAAAAAGTGTGGATGGTCCTGCACGACACTTTCACCACTATAATCAAATCTCATGTGCTATACATGCGGGTTTGGGAACCGCTTGTGAATTCAAAATTCCCATGAAATTCCAATATTGGAGCCGGCTCAACCCACCCCGGGTGAATGCCGTTACAAGAACAAGAGAAGAAGAAGTAGTGATCATGTCTCTCCACAACTTCTTGTAGATGTTGATAAATTTTGTTTTTCTGTTAATTTTCCTAAACCCTGTTCCGCCATCAATCCGCCTCAAGCTCACAATGTCTGCGCTTGATCGCGCCGGTGATCTTGCTGTTGTTACAGTGTAAACATGGCCGCTCCGCTAGCGGTATGCAACTAGGAGGAATAAAAAGACAGCGATCCGATTTCTCTGGTCGGACGGTGTGTCAAGGGCTGAGATTCAGGGGAGATTTTTAACATTATACGGCAATATTGCACTAGCGCATGGAGGCGTGTATGAATAGATCAAGAAGTTTACGTGTGGCCGGACAAGCATGATGCGCGAATAAGGAACAGGACGAAAGTCGACCTCCACCACTGACAAGAAGATTCAGCAACCTCGAGAGACGGTAACAGCGAATTGGCGCGTTACAATGCTCTCCTCATCGACATGAGGAGAGCAATGTAACAGCAGCAATAGCAAAAAAAGAAAGAAAAAAAACTGGCGCGGTCAAGGTCAAACTTAGATCACGTGAACACAACAGTACCAAATATATGCACGCATGAACAAAAGGCAGTGTGACATATCTAAAGATATATTATTGCGAAAATGCGTTTAATTCTTTGACGTACCCTCGTAGAAACATAGATAGATAGATAGATAGATAGATAGATAGATAGATAGAAGGAAAACAGTCAGATATTAATAAAATGAAACAGATACATTGATGAATGTAAATAGTTGGAGATAAATAATAGATGGACAGATATTGCAAGACTGAGATAGATAGATAGATAGATACAGTATAACCCGGATATAAGAGAAACCCGGATATAAGAGTGATTTTCTCTGGTCCCAAAGTGTTCCCATACTTACCTAAACAAAATAGACCAAACCCGGATATAAGAGAAACCCGGATATAAGAGACTTCTTCTCCGGTCCCGAAAACTCTCCTATATTCGGGTTACACTGTAGAAAGATATGAGATTGAGATAGATAATGAAAAACCTGAGATAGATAGATAGATAGATAGATAGATAGATAGATAGATAGATAGATAGATTGATGAGACTGGGAGATAGAATGAACAGTCTGGAGATAGATAGATAGATAGATAGATAGATAGATAGATAGATAGATAGATAATCTGAGATAGATGGATATGAACAGTCTGAGATAGATGGATAGAACAGGTGAGATAGATAGATAGATAGATAGATAGATAGATAGAGATAGATAGATAGATATGGACAAGCTAAGATAGACGGATATGAACAGGCTGAGATAGATAGATAGATAGATAGATAGATAGATAGATAGATAGATATTATTAGATTGAGATAGGCACATAGATAATGAAAAAAACTGAGATAGATATTATCAGACTGAGATAGATACTTAGATAGATAGACAGATATAGATAATAACCAGATATTAATAATATGAAACAGACACATTGATAAATATAAATAGTTTGAGATAGATATTATCAGAATAAGATAGTTGAATAGATAATGAACAGACTAGAATGTATAGCTAGCTAGCTAGATAGATAGTGAACAGACTGAGATAGATAGATAGATAGATAGATAGATAGATAGATAGATAGATAGATAGAATGAGACAGAAAAATGACTGCTGAAATGAATCAGAAGCATTGATAGATATAAATAGTTTGAGATATATATATATATATATATATATGAACAGACTGAGACAGATCATTAAATAGAGATAGATAGATAATAAAACGACTCCGAAAGATAAATAGATATTAAAAAGACTAAGATAGATACATACATTATAAAAAGACTGAAATAATCTATTTCTATAGATAATGAAAAGACTGAAATAGATAGATAGATAGATAGATAGATAGATAGATAGATAGATAGATAGATTGAACAGACTGAGATAGATAGATAGATAGATAGATAGATAGATAGATAGATAGATAGATAGATAGGACAATGTTATTAATAATAATAAATTTTATGGACAAAAAACTATTCAACGAAAACTCAGTGAATTCTCCTCACGCACCTCCTTCCCATCTGACCTTTGCTGACCCTGGAAATTCGTCTTACTTTGATTGCTCTCTTGCAAAATGACCGCTGAAACCGACTTTACACAAAAATCAAAAGAAAATTAAAGATAAAATTTCAAATGTTTAACGGAAATAGTCTCCATGTTGTTTTTATTTTTTTTTTTCATCTCGTTTTCTTTGCCTGTTCTTAATTTTCCAGTAGACGATCTCTCAAAATAATCATCTTCATAAAAGAAGACGACCTGCAGGCTACATATAAAACATACATAAACCTCATTGTAATTAAACGAATTCAGATTTGAAATTCTATCTCTGTGAGTGTGTGTCTGTGTGAAAAAAAACAAAAAAACAAATAAACAAAAATAAAAAAACACAGAAATATTCAATTAATTTGAATACCGGCAGTGAATACAAAGTCGTACGGATTTTCACCTCTATCCTTCCCGAGCAGCAGTCGTCCTTTGACATAGGCTTTCTACTGCCTCACAGGTCAGCTAACTTCAAAATCGGATAGCTATACTTTTTCACTCAACTTTTTCCCGCTCAACTTCTTCCCGCTCTTCTTCCCGCTTAACTTTTCCCGCTCAACATCTTCCCGCTCAACTTTTACCCGCTTAACTTCTTCCCGCTCAACTTTTACCCGCTCAACTTCTTCCCGCTCAACTTCTTCCCGCTCAACTTTTTCCTGCTCAACTTCTTCCCGCTCAACTTTTACCCGCTCAACTTCTTCCCGCTCAACTTTTTCCCGCTCAACTTCTTCCCGCTCAACTTTTACCCGCTCAACTTTTACCTGCTCAACTTCTTCCCGCTTAACTTATTTGAATTGATCGATACAGACTCGTCTACATAAGTGATGGCTGACACGCCTTTGTCATGTATGACAAACGCAAGATATTATTGCATGACTCGATTTTGATTTGCGTTATCGGGCCTTGACACTGAAAAGCGGAGAAAAGTCGTTGGGCCCGAAGAATAATCCTACAACGTTATCGGTCCTGACATGGCATCTCGGTTCCAGTCGATTTCCTACCGCCATAACATTGCTTCCCTTTGCATCTTCTATAAATATTTTCAAGGCAATTTTTCTGATGAGTGTGGATTCAGTTTACTCGGATTTTAGGTGCGAAAATCAAATCCGTGAGTCTTGCCCACAATTACAGCACCAAATTATAAACAACGCGATGAAATGATATTCATAGAAAAAAAAGAAGACCAATCTAAATATGGCAATAACATGTATTTACATATTAAAAATCTATGTTCTTTGTTGTGGTCATAAAGAGACCAATAATTCGACTGTTCGAAAAGATTTGTCGCAAGTGATGAAATCAATATCTGTGTGTGAAGCACACGCTAACGAAACATATGTGTGACTGCTGATAGATGCATGTGGTAGTAGTAATTTTGAACACGTTGAAAGAAATAGAGAGGAGGCAGGACTTACTTTAGTCATAGCTTTGCATGTTTTTCAGTGAAGAAAAAACATCGCTGACTGACGTCATAGTAACGTGTGTCTATGCTGTTGATGGAGACAGGGTCTGGATCATTGACTGTCTTTCGAATCGGCTCGGCTCCGAATCACTATCTGTGTTTTGCGCTAGCCACGACCCTCTCCAGATCTTTTGCAGTTCAGCTGCGCAGACGTCGGAGAAAAGACATCACGTGACTTGTCCTATCTAATGTGGTTCCAGAAACCACTTATTTAATTTGAAACTGTGTTCGTAAAGAATCCTAGAAACTTTTTCATATGTACTGAATTTAGTAAAATTTATTTTTAGGCATCTCTTTTTTGCGCTTCGCTCATTGGCCGTAAAACATAGGCGTTTATATTCTATATGAGCTTTCGACGTTAGCGGCTTGACTTCATGGATTCGCCGCTAAGTCTCGTGAATTCGCTGTCAGAAATTTGTTGTAACCATGCAGTCTATGCTAACTTCGGTGACGTACGGAAACCGGTGTTTCAACGTGATATGGCCGTAAGATTTGCAAAGATTTCACCTCTATCCTCCCCGAGCAGCAGTCTTTCTTTTGACATCGGCTTTCTACTGCCTCACAGGTCAGCTAACTTCAAAATCGGAAAGCTATACTTTTCAGTGTAGAAAAATCATCGCTGACAGACGTCTTGTAATGGTAACGTGTGTCTATGTTGTTGATCGGGACAGGGCCTGATTCGTTGACTCTCTTTCGGATCGGATCGGCTCGGAATCACTATCCGTGTTTTGCGCTAGCCACAATCCTTTCCAGATCTTTTGCAGTTCAGCTTCGCAGACGTCGGAGAAAAGACATCACGTGACTGAATGACATCAAATTATAAACAACGAAATGAAATGATATTCACAGAAAAAAAAAAGAAGACCAAGCTAAAGACAATTACATCATGGCAGCGGGACTTATTTATTTTCTGGATCGATTGAAGGAACCGGACATTTTTTTCCGGCATCTCATCCGACGGCATGAATATATGCGTTCCATTTCTGTTTTAGCTCAAGTAGGCGTTCGAGACAAGGTGCATCTTTGAGGATATGACAACCGTACGCATTTGGCGCAGGTGTTGGCTCTGAGGGTGGTGATGAAATGTTATGAGGTTAATTTTGGATGTATTGAATGATATTAGAGTGTCTTTCCCCATTGACCTTGTGAGAGTTAGGTCAGGGGAAATATGAGTAGACAGGTGTTGGTCACCAAGATAGTGAAGGCCCAACTATACGCTATTATTATTGGTCTTTCTGTAACAGATTAATAACATAACACCATTGACTGCTAATTTATTTGTTTTGTACAAGATCGATATTGTGCATTATTATTATTATTATTTAAATTTTCTTTCTTTTGATTTCTGTATGTCCACATTTCCCTCCGGGTCTCGCCCAGTGACCTAAGGTTAGAAATGGCATCATGACATTTACCATACACAATAAAAAAAAACAAAAACAACAAAAAAACAAAAAAAAACAAAACAAAAAAACAAACAAAAAAGAAAATATTTTACATCGATAAAACCCTTCGTAAGATGTGGACTGTAATAGTGAGAACAATGTTTTGTATTTCTTTAAGGCATAGGCTTCCAGGAATCCCTTCAATTAATCTACAGGAATTTTTTCCAACCAATCCGAGGGCTCCGACTACAACAGGGATAATTGATGTTCCCATGTGCTACATTTTTTAGATTTAGATTTCAAGGTCCTTGTATTTTGATTGCTTTTTGAAGATCTTCAAAGATACATTGCAGTTTGTAGGGACTGCTATATCAATAAGGAGGCACTTTTTTTGTTTGCGGTCTCTAATAACAATTTCTGGGCGGTTAGATTTGATTGCTCTGTGTGTATTGCGTAGTCCCATTATCAAAAGCCTTATATTACGTCCATATTTGATCTGGTGTTCGCATCTCGATTCAGTCACTTTCCAACCGACGTAAAGTAATTTAATCGTTCTGAAGAGCTTTCTTCGCTGGTAACTAGATGTCACGAGTTTAAGAGCACTACTAGCAGCTATGTCGCATCATTTGATTCCCGAAATAGCTAGTTGTAACCGTAGGTTCTATGTTAATATTTTCTTCTATTGCACTTCTCACTTGTTGACTCTCTTCCTGTTCCTTGCTTTTTTGTCAACTACGATCTTCATACATATAAATGAAACGTCTTCTACCTTCTTGAATTCTCTACTTATATTACTTACCTCTGTTCCTCTCTCAATAAAGCCCTTGCGTTCCACTGAATTTTTTTGCCTTGCTTAGTGTAATAAAACAAAACAAAACAAAACAAAGCAAAAAAAAAAAAAAATCTCTAATCAACATTCAGTATCCCAAAGGAAGAACTGGTCGACATCATTGGATTCTCAAAGCCAGAGATGTTGCTTCGCGTTTCCGTCTTGTTGGCTACTTTAACGAAAAGCTGAAGGTTTCAGCATTGCAATCGCGACGGACTGCGCGTCTGGGAACCAACCCAAGCATTTATACATCCACACGACTGTGCTACATGGCTGTTGACACCATGTAAGGTTTAATCCTCCCTTTGATAGGTCCTGTTTTTATCCTACTGTCTATCTAGCCAAACCAACAGAAATTACGACTGGAAAAAAACATTTGAGAGACGAAACGAATCACATATGATTTAGTCCATTTTGCCATTTAGTTACCTACCAGTCAGTGCTGTATAATTTAACTATCGTATATTATTCTCATATATAAATCTCAGTAAATTTGAAAATAAGTTATTTCAAAAATCGATTGAAGATGAAACAGAAATAGTGCTTTTAATTTAATATAATTGAATGTGAAGTTCTTGTTTTCTGATTTTGAAAACATGGTAATTCCTGTGTAGCGATGTATTATAGTGGAACACACCTATTCTAGAGTTAATAGACTCTCCCACCTATAATAAGTAGGAGTAGTAAGAGTAAGGAAGTCGCTCAGTCGATGCCGGACGACCGTTAGTCGGATACTAAAGTATCAGCGACCACAACTAGATTACTGCGTCATTACCTATTATATCAAGTTCCAAAAGTTTTGTACGTCGAACCTATTTTAGGACCGACTTAGTACAAATACAAGCCTCCACTGTGAAACTACTTCATAACACGATGAAATCATATTTTTAAATCAGTTAATTTATAATATTTATTCACTGTAAATTTACATTTTGTAAAAATAAAAAAATAAAAAAATATCAATAAGAACACCGGATTACATATCTTACTGTTCTTCCTTTTTTTACTATAATATATATATATATATATATATAGAAAGAGAGAGAGAGAGAGAGAGAGAGAGAGAGAGAGAGAGAGAGGTTGTAGATAGGTTCGTCTATCGTCCAGTTTACACCCCTCCCAAGTCTTCTAAACAGGAGCAGGGATTTATCACTTGTTTCCTGTTTAGGATTAAGTTTCCGGTTCCTTTTAAATTTTACTTCAACGCTTTACTGCCTTGCTTGGCCTGAAATGATTAATACACACACCCACACCCACACAAACCACCCACGTATATATATATATATATATATATATATATAT